TGTAGCAGACATACTCTGATACCTGAAAACTGGCTTCACTTTTGATTTGTTGACAAAGTAGTACCATTCATCCTGTTGATACCGATTAAAAAGGAATAATACTAATAGACGGTGCCATTGTTACTCTTTCAGGGGTAATGACATTACAGCCATCATTTTTTTGGAAGGTAGTACTAGAGCCTAGGTTTATCTGGGAGAAGCTTTTCCTGCAGTTCTGGCATGTGGTATTTTTCGAGTTTCAGAGAGTTAAGTGGAGCCTGGTTTTTCAAGTGTCAAAGTACCAATGATATTTCCCCATCTCTGCAAATTAATAAATGTATTGCAAACAGTAATCATATCAACAGTCCAATTACCTCCACAATTCTACCTAGTAAACACTACTCGACGCTGCTAAGTGCTTGAGTAACAGATTACAATTTCAATAAGAAGTATTACAAAAACGGGATATTTTGCGTCTTCCCATAGAAAACCACAGTTATTTTCTGACATTGGCATCCCTATCCCTGCTCAAAAGACATTTCTTACAGTAATATCTTTTAATTTTATGTAATATCATGCATTTTAAAATATACATACCTCGATATGCTACTTAAATTATGAAATATGATCATAAAAAAACAAAAAACAAATTCACTTTAGAATATATACCAATATCTGGATATGCCACATAATCTAATGAAATAAGATTACAAAAAGATTTTCAACCTCATCCTCCATCTCGAGGGGTTGAGGACAAGAAGAATGTTCTTTTGAAGGATCAACTTGCCGGTTAATACTTCACATACAAAGTCATGATAAAAAAGTTCAATCTTTCAAAAAGGAGTGCTACTCTTTCAATTATTTATTTTTTCTTTTGTGTTATTGAAGCAAACACATTTTGAAGTTTAATGGAAGCTGATTCATAAAACAATAAAAAAAAATCAGCATTAGTGAATCATACTGAAATTACAAATAATTCTATACGGCTCTCATCAGTGACACAATAACAAAACTCAATGTAAATCTGAATTCGTACAAAGCATCAAGATGTATTTCTTGAATTCAAGTACAAACAATGAATGTGTAAAATATTACTAAAGAGAAAGTTACAAAATGGCCAGTAATATTTTATGACAAACAAACTACATCTGAATTATTTAGATATATGAAAAATGCAATAGACCCATCATTAAAAAGACTTCATCGAGTTAAATATAGATTCTACACTCTTATTATCTGAATTAGGAAGTTCAGTTACAATAAACAGTGTGAGTTCACAATTACAATAGCTCATACCACACTAAAATAATTGCCTTTCTATTAAACTAAGCATATACTGTACACAGAAAACGATTCTAAATAAAAAGACAATTATATTTGATAACAAAACATTACAATACAATCATGCATTCATGCATTTATGTTCAATAATCTTTGGGATATTTCATAAAGTCTACAAATTTTTTAAACACAAAAAGATATGATAAATACAAGAACAACCAATGTGCAGATCTCAATGTACAATATCATCTAGAGAAAAAAACATAGCAGATATTACCAAAACTGTAAATCTGCATGGAGAAAGAAAGAAATGGAGATCAATTTTTCCTTTTGCTAAAAATTCCTATTACCTTTTTTTAAGTTTGAAGTTTGCCCCGATAAGTATCTCAATGAAATTACAAAACAAAATATAATACAATAACTTCAGCTGCAAATTATCAGAATACTGTGTAAGTGGATTAGAATGTGCCATTTTTTCTTTTTCTATAAGTACACAAAAAAAAAAATATAGTTTAGGAATGTTAAACGCTGTCAAAACATGGCTGTGTAAGTAAGTGTAAGGGGCTGTATAAATACAAATCAGAATAAGCAAAACAATCAATATAACAAAACAAGAATACAAAATCAAAACCAAAATCTGGTATTGCACCCTGATCAACACATAAGTAAATACACCAAAACTAACGGTTGTATAACTGCGTAAAAATATGGTCACTCTGTCCCAAAACATCAGTATGATTTCAGCACCTACAGACACACCTTCTATCTATGTGGGGCAAAAAGCAGATATAGGCAGGTCACCAACTATGCAAGATGAAGGGAGTACAAAAGACATCCAATGACATATTTACAATACTGTGTTTATATGTTTATACCCAAATAAACAACTTTCTTTAATGGGTTCATCACATTCAGTTCTTTATATCCTTCTATTCATTATAACTATTACCACCCTCATCTGTATCAGTAAACCATTACATAGTATAATCAGTACCCTAAATGTCTAGTTTCAGCTGAATATATAAAAAATATAGAAAAAAAAAATCATGATTAAGAATTTCTCACTTTCCTAGTATGTATAAAAATGCTGCAAAATGATTAAACTTCCTGGGTGACTCGTACCATCCAGCAAATTCATTTTATGATTTGTTTCATGATCTTAAAGGGTAGTGGTAGAAGATGAAGCTTATAAATATGGGTATTTACAAAATACCAATTATCCAGACTTAGGATATCTGTT